AAATCATCACAAAGCCAAGCCATGCCAGTGCCAGCACACAGGCGGCAGTGAGAACAGCAGCTGGAGGTGACAGAAGAGCCGGCAGCAGCACAGGTTTGTGCTGACATAGACATAGTGTGTCCGTGCAACCATGAATTTCATGCAGTAGAGATGCGAACCAAGCAAGACAGTGTCAGTGCCCAGCTCAAAAGCAGCAGTGCCAGGTTCAGCTGTGGGTCAGCTCATCTTTTCCTCAGCATCTTTTACCACTGCTTTTACTCAGTGAGCATGATTTATCATTGGCTTTGCCAGCTGTGCCCTCTTCTGCTCCAGAAACAGAGTATCAGCTGCCCTCTTTATTTGTAGATTAAATAAAAGTCAATTTAAACACAACAATTAATCCCATTATTGGTTATTTTTATCTTTCCAGCAGAGTCATGTCACCTGTTTTATGTTTAATCAGCAGCAGGGAGTTCAAGGCTGAGCCACCTAAGAGAAAATAGAAGTCACCATCTTGCAAGAGTCATTTAGCTAAGATCAATCTCTACCATCTGGATTATTTTACCTGACGCCTGGCCATTTTGTTTCACTATTACAGAAGTGGACTTTAAAGGACTATAGCTCCCATATGTTTTCAAAGTTGCCTTCACTTTTTGGGTCTTTCATTGTCTGTCTCTCTGAACACCACATGGAACGATGGTGCCTACCAGGCAGAGGAGGAGACCCAGAGCCACACCTATCACGCATATTTTTGGAAGTAACTACTATATAAAAACCTCTCTAGGAATCATTCCCTATAGAATTGGAGTAAATTGTCTTCCCTTCTCCTGTTAGGATGCCTATTTTTCTTCTTTTTAGTCAAGTCATTTCCAGTACGTTCCTTTGACCACCAGTGCAGATCCTAAAGTGGATCTCTGTTAATGTTGCTTAAGCTGCTAGGAGCAAAGGTTGGAGTTTTAAAGTCATTTTCAAGATATGGTGTCTGATCTGAGTAAGCCTTCAATTCAATTTCCAACTGACATCTTATTGTAAATGTCAGTATAAAAGTTTATTCTTTTTCTTCTAAAATTAGACTCATTTGAGCCAGTACCAGCTTTGTTTCTAGGGTTCTTTGACATTGATTATACTCTGGCTTTTAATCATGGTCTGTGACCTTTTCTGAACAATCAGGATCAGTCACATTTATAAGATAGCACATTCTCCATTTTTATAACTCTATTACTCCTCAAACCTACTTTCTGATGGAAGTCTCTGTGAAGAGTAGAGCCATCTCTTACTGTGATTGTTTAGCCTGGGCAGTTCTCATCTGACCCAGATATGGTTATACTTTTCAGGGCTACCCATGCAGTTCTACACAAAGCAATAGCGCTAATGCACAAAAACCTCATTACAGAGCAACAGCCAGCATAGTTTTCTCATTGTGATAGGGAGAGCAGCAAGAATTACATGCTTTTCAAATAACAAAGTACCAAAATGAAGTTTTAAATAAGCCCATCAGCATCCACAAATAGACAAGATATTAGTGGGGTGGTAAGGTGAGGTCCTGTTGCACAGCATATGAATCTGTGAGGATTAGAAGAGAACAAAGTAGTTTATTCCTCTTATTTCTGATATTCTGTTTCTTGCAAGGTGATACCTGTATTACACGTGTCCTTTTCCTGTTGGTCACCTGAAGTGGAAGGGAATGATAGAGCTGATATTTGGATAGAAATGTCTTCCCATTTTCTTCCTGAAATAAATCCATCAACATTTCGTTAAGAGTTTTCTGGGAGGGATTAGAGGTTTTTGTCTTGTTTTGTTTTCAACACAAAACATTCCATTAAGCGTGACTTAAAGGAAAAGTGAGGAACAAGGTTCACGCAGCTGCTGGAGGAGCAGAAGTGCAGGCAGCGGTACCCTCCTCTTCTGTGTAGCTTGGTGGTTAGAGCATTTGTTCACCAAAGGGAAGACAGGGGGTTTGTTCGCAGTTCTTCCTGTTTGGGTGTGAACACACATCTCCTGCTTCACAAGTTGTACCCTGAATACCCGGGTGTGTGGAACAGGTGGGTATGTACGTGTACAGGAGTTAGGAAGGAAGGAGCATTGGTAGTATAAGCTGGTCCCACCGACACAGCTCCAGGCTGTGTAAATAATTACATATTCATTGGAACCGGAAGCCAAGAATCCCAGCTCTTGGGTGAATGTCCTGAACATAAGGCTGGAGAGTAATTTTCTCTCTTGCTTTCTGCCTCAATTAATAACCTTTGATGTAAACCCGGAATGAATCCAGCAGGTGTGATTGAATCGCACCTAACTTCCAGCTTTTGGTTCAAATCACTTCCCTAGAGAAAGCCGAACGGTAGTTGGAAAACAGTCCCTCTCACACGTCATGCACATGCAAATGAAAACTAAATACAAGTCTGCAGGGTCTGTATTTTCAGGGAAGATGACTGTAGAAATAAACATAAAAGATACCATTTAATACAGCAACAGATGGTATCCAGATATCCCAATTGTGGAGCCACAGTTTAGATATTAATAGTACAGAAAAAGCAATTTCTGCTTGTTGTCTTCTTACAGTGCTCTCTTTTTCCATTACAAATATACCAGCTCAATTCTCATTCAGTAAGTTTTAAGAACTGAGGTTTTTCTATTTCTTGTCCTACTGTTTTGTTAGCGCTTTACAACCACATAGCGAAAAAATAAATAACATTAGTGTCTTTCACTGCTGGATCTGACATGTTGGATTTTATTTCAGTTAATACATGAAATGTGTCTAGTGGCTTTTAAATAGCTACTGAAAAATATTCAAATGTAGGTTTCAGGAATCTCTATAGCGTCTAATCAAGGTGTTTTTAAAATACAAAAATATAATATTATTGTTCTTTTTCCTCTTACTCTCAAGGAGATTTGGCTTTTGAATATTTATATAAACCTTGCAATCCTACTGAATCTGCTGTCTTTGGGAAAGTAAAATCTATGTAACAGCTGAAATCTGTAATGTAATGTAGGTCTCTTGTAAACCTCTAGATTTAGTGTCTGATATATTCTGCTATTCAGACAAATGAGAAGATGGGCAATGAAATTACTGAATAAAACCAGAGTCATATTAACATTAATCATGAGCATCCTGCTCTCATTCTGTGAGAGAAATACTTAAAAAAAAAAAATACAAACTATTACATAAACATGATGATATCCATTTGTGTTTTGAAGGTCATGAAACTAAGGCCATGCTAAATAACAATGGTCCTCGTTACAAGCGCAGCAAGATAGAGCGGCGGATGAATACAGATATTTTCTTATGTGTGGGACTCCTATTCGTGATGTGTCTTGTTGGAGCTGTAGGTATGACGCACTGACAAAAATCTTCTTCTGTTTCATTGGGGTTTTTATAAACGGTGGTTAAAATTGATCTCATGGACATGGGTGAGATCAGATCTAGAGCTGCATGCTCTTGGCATCTTTAGGCTCTTTAGTCTTTCCAATAGATAAGTTAAAATGGCAAATTTGAGCAATTCAGATGGCAGAAAACTCAGCCATGGCTATAAATATTTCTGATAAGCCCCATCTCCACTGTGGTAAAATGTGTGAAGCAAACAAGTGGAAGCCGTTGGGTTAATGCATCCTAGGAATCAGTACTTGCCAGTTGAGATATGCGTCTGAGTGGATGTTTATTCCTTGCGTATAACAACAAAAGGAAAATGATGTAGTTTTGCCTTCATTTCAGTACCATCTTCCTCTAACACGTTCAGGGGTGATGTTAGCCAGAGCTGTCCAATTTACAACCCATGAGCGGCACATGACTAATTCATCAAGTTTACAGCTACCTCCCTTCTCAAAAGCCCCTTTACAGCAGGCTGTGAGATGGATTAATTGTTTAGGTAGGAAAAGCCTGCATTTTTCTCGGTCCTTGCAAGTGAGCACACTTGAATATAGTATCTGGGGTTAGCTGACTAGAGTTTACTAGACTGCTGATCTCCAAACCCTCATTTTCACTGCATGTAAGCACCTGCTTGCCTTCAGCTCTGATTGCAATCTGTCCCAGGCAGGTCAGGATTAAGAGGATCCCATAATCCCAAGGAAAGGGCCAAATTTTAAGCCCACGAACTTTTGAACAGGTCACTGCTTTAAAGAGATAACAGAGGCTCCCATAAGCGCTTTGTGTTCAAAGCCCCTTTTCTTTTTTAATCGATTTCATCTCGGTGATAAGTTGCTTAGTGCAACTGCTCTGAATTAGTTTTGTAGCGACAAAGTCATGTGGTTCTGTCACGTTTTCCTCAACCTGCCCTGGAGGCGTGTGACGTGACACACCAGCCAGTCACCAGTGTAATACCATTAGAAGTCAGGGCCACCCAAAAAGATGAACAATTGAACCAACTTAATCGCTTTTTTTTAATTTTGCTGCTTCACATTGCAGTGGGCTTTCTTGACGCAGAAATTGGATTTCAGTTTGACAACTGAGCTCTGTGTGAGGGAGAGAGAGACTTTATTTTCATTGTTCCCTGGCTGCTGTCATGTAGATTTAGAGACTTGTCTTTGTCTGGTGCATAGGGGCCCTTGAGTAATAAAGTCCTTTAATTTAAGGTTTAAAGTGGTCTCAGATGACAAAATCAGCATTTAAAAAATAATTTATCTGCTCAGGTTTGGAAAAAAAAAGAATATAAAATGTTCATAGTCTAAGTGAAACATGTAGAATAGTAACAAGTCCGTTAGCTTTCATCCATTCAACGTGTACCAGGAGTCCTTGCTTTGCAACCTTGTCTAAATGCGGGGTTCTAGGAAGAAACATCACTGGTGGATCGGTTATGAGGATTTTTCTTGCACACAGTGAAAAATTGGAGTAAGAAGTGGCTTATAGAGCATAGTTGTCCTTGCTCAGACGTGATTGTGGTCTCTAGCAGCCAGAAAGTATTGCCGAAATAATTTGAATTCCTTTGGCAGCATTTTAGTAGGCAGATGCTGCAAAACAACTGCTTGCCTAATTGGTGCTAGTAGTTTTATCAGGGCAGGATATGCAAAGTGGACTAATAGAGGTTTTTGGCATCTGGAGCAATGATGCAGTGAGGGGAACTGAGTTGTTTGTCCTAGCTCTGTGTGAAGTTTCTGGTGCTGTAGATTTGGTAACATCCTTGAGCAAAGTTTATTTCAGAAAGAGCAGTATAAAAGGTGGCAAGGTAATCGTGATGGGCTGCTAGTAAGTCCTGAACCGGAGGCTTTGTTATAGCAGTGCAATGATACCTACTGATATTTAAGACACAGGGGAAAAAATAGTTTTGGGGTATGATTAAATTGAAGTGAATATAAAAATGAGCTGCATAGATTGAATTATAGGGGGCTTATTGACTCTAACAAAGACAGATGGAAATCAAGAATGGTCAGGATAAGAAAGATTTCAGTTTGTCTATATAAAGGTCACAAGGTTTCTTTCTGTTAGAAAGAGGAATAGCAGTCTTTAGCACTGAGGATTTTTAAAGATAGGTAGTAGAGCTGGAGTCCTCCAGAGGCAAGATGTAGCGTGAGGAGAGATCTGTGCAGAGCCCTGGGGGACATCTGCTGAAGGAAAGGTGAATAAAAATATCCACGTCCACTTGTTTCTAACTAGCATATCAATTATATGCATATGCTACAGAGCTCTGCACATACTTTGCATTCTCCAATAGATTTACAGCATTGCTCAGGGACTGTTGCTTTGGAAATGTTCTTTTTAATTATCATAGCAGTCCATATCTGCAAATTTCAGAAGCTTTGTCAATCACCTTACTGCTCAGCATATTTGAATATTGTGTATCATTCCTACAGGGCATGGCATTTGGACTGGAAACTTCTCAGAGCATCCGCCTTATGATGTCCCAGATGAGAATGGCAATTTTCTGTCTCCAGTTCTCGCCGGTTTCTACATGTTCTTGACAATGATAATCCTGTTGCAGGTAAAAGACAAAACCTCTCTGTTACCTCCAAGGAAGAAGCTATTCAAAACTGAGTATAATCACTAATGAACAATTAATATCAACTAGTAGCTGTGCAGTACCTTCTTAATCCTATTTGAAAATATTGCTAGGAGTGTTTCAAATCATCCAAGTGTGAAATAATGTATCTTTCCTTTCTTTTTTTCTTTCCTGTTCTAACTGCAGGTTTTTCTTTCTTGCTGTTGAAACCCCACAAGGATGTAGATAGGAAGGATGTGTAGTATATCTTTAAATAACTCCAGAATCTCTAGCATATGCAATAAAGAGGATGTTTAGATCCAAATGTCAGCTTTTTTTCTTTTTTTTTTTCCCCCTGCCTATGTCCAGAATTCCAAAATAGGAATGCAGGAAAACAGTGAAACAAAAATTGTCATTTTTGCCAATGGGGAATAATAACTGCTAGGTATGGTTCAGCTGGTTTAGGAAAGAAGCTAAATTAGAAGTAGGATGCTTGTATATCTGAGTCTGATTAAGCCTAATTGGGAGAGAACATCTTATGGGATGGGGGAAAAAAACACATTTACTTTTCAGAATTCTTGATGAAACTGCTGAGATTTAAGTGGACAGAATTTCTTTAATATGAATGAAGTGTGAAGATAACTTTCAGAGCTGCTCAGAAATTCCTTGGGGGATTAGCCTTCATTACTGAAACAGAATATTTGTGCATCTTAAGAATTCATTATTATTTCAGAGCAGGGAAGCTAGTGGGTGGGAAGTGTTGCATGCAAGGTAATTGCTCATGAAACTTTTTTACGTTAAGAGTTATTCTGTGCTAGTGCATCCTTTCAGAGTTTCAGGGAGGGTAAGAGCAGCATGTACTGCAGTCCAGAAAACGTGCTTTGTGAGAGCATCCTCTGAAAGACCCATCTTTGCATTTGGTGTTCTAGGAATCTTGTCTTAAATTTGTCACTTCTTGTCCCTGTTTATCCATTGCTGTGGTGTGCAGGATTTTTCTTCTCCCCTGAACTATTATTATCCAGTCTTACAATACGTCTCTAGGAAGAACTAGTTGTCTGAAAATTGTTAGTATATTTGTGCCAGAACATTGCTGACGGAAAGCAATAAGACTTGTCTCACCCCTCGCTGAGAATTTCATCTCTCTTTCAGGTTTTAATCCCCATTTCTCTTTATGTGTCCATTGAGTTAGTCAAGTTGGGCCAAGTCTTCTTAATTCACAATGACATTGACCTGTATGACGAAGAAGCAGATTTGCCCATACAGTGCCGCGCCCTAAATATTACTGAAGATCTTGGACAAATCCAATATATCTTCTCGGACAAAACTGGGACACTAACAGAAAACAAAATGGTATTCCGACGCTGTACTGTCGATGGAATTGAGTTTTCACATCAGGAAAATGGTGAGACACACTTTTTTTATACTTGCTTTTCTCTGAGCAACTAAATGTTATTAATTTTAATTTTAATAGTTAAACCTACTGAGCCCCCTGACTGAATGGAGAGGATTTGTCTCCATTTTGTGAGGGAGTCCTGTTACGGAGATTCAGGAAAGCGAAGGTGTTTTAAATGACTCAGAAGTCAGATGGGAAAGGTTTTCCAGTTCCCGCTGCAGGCATCTCAGGCTTTTCCCTGCATTCAATACCCACTAGAGAGTGCAAAGAGAACATTTTCTCTTTCATTTCTAAATGAATGCCAGCCAGCCTTTTATAAGCTCACAAACTGAGATAGTTAGTAATTAAACTCAGTGGGTCCAAAAGTAATTACCAAAGTCTTCTGTGCGATATGAAAGGTACAGCTACACATTTTCTTGAGTCGACCCTCACTGCAGTCTGTATCTGAAGTCTCTTGGCATTCGGTGCTCTGAATCTTGGGTTTGACTCAGGTCAAACTACTCTTGGTCGCTACTTTCTCTCTCTGCATAGAGAGAAAGATTTTATTAAGCTGGCAAGCAGCTGCCGAAAAGATGTTTGCGTTCTGTGACTGAAAACATTAGCAAATTTGTGAATTACCATATTTCACTCTCCTGTTCCAGTCAATTGCAAAATGCAGCTAAGGAAACCACGCATTAACAGAAGTCCATAAAAGTGACTGATCACTTTGAAAACGCATTTTTGTTTTCTTGCAATAATAAAAATTGGAGAGTAGGAATTGCCAGAAACTGAAGTGGATAGTGAACGTTTTTCTGGTGCTGGTTTTTGAGATGTTTTGGCTTTGAATCAGTTTGTTTCAGGTTTTTTAACCAACCAAGGAATTCCTCATGAGCAATGCAAAGTACAGAATAAGAGGTGAGGTTTCATTTTCTCTTTTTATAGCCAGGCGCCTGGAAACCCACAGAGAGTTGGATTTAGATGATGAGGACTTTGCAAAACTTCATCAGTTCACTCTTCCTCCCATGAATATTGAGAGACCAGTCACTTACAAGCAGAGGACCGTGAGACCTTTAAGGAGGTGCCAGAGTGCTAGAGCTCATTTTCAGGGGCATACGAGGAATAGGTCCCTCGGTCGTCGTGACAGCAACCAGTCTCAAGTGGCGTTCAGCAGTACCATAGTGAGTACAAGCAGACAGAACTAACACATTTTAAGTTCTCCTTTCTGTTGCATTTGTGATGGGAAGCCGACAGGTGGACAGGAGAAATTCAAGCCCTGGTGGAGCTAAGAAAGGGAAAGGGGAGACAAAGCATTGGGGTCCTGACTTGGAGTGTGCAGGCCGCAGTCAGCGGGGAGCTAGGGGAGGGTTTGGGAATCCAGGTCCTTGTATCAGAGACTGCAGCAGAAGAGTGGGGGCACACAGGTGAGTTTTTGTGATGGTTGCCTGATAGGAGGAGGACATGAATTCGGGGTCCAAGGATTGAGGCTGTGGCTCATAACAAGAAGAGGTACTTTGCACAAAGAGGAACGAGCTTTTTGTACTGTTCTGGTACATTAAAATGCCAGGGAAAATGAGGTCGGGATTCTGGGCTGGGATATTGTGCAAGCAGAGGTAGGGACGTGAGTCTGGGGCCTGGCTTTGCAGAAACAGGAGGTGCAGGTCCTCCTGGGATATGGTGGTCAGGAAGAGGGTATGGATTTGAAGTCTGAGTTTGAACACAGGTCAGAAAGCCACAAACTGCTTCTGCTACTAGCACTGCAGCATATGTGTCTGTTAAACAAAGTTCAGCCGCTCTTGTGCTGTGCATGCAAAATGCCCAAGCTGCACTCTCCAGAGCAGTTCTGGGAGTTTGTTAGTGTGTCAAAAGGTAAATATTGCATTTTTCAAGGAAAAAAAAAAAAAAAAGCAGCACATCTCACAAAGATAATAGAAATTAAGCTAAAAGGGCTTATCAGAATAAGGTCTTCAACCCTGCAAGATGCTGAAGAGTCTTGTCCTCCTTCAGTAGCTAGGTGGCCTCAGCCTCACCTCAAGTACTGACTTGGAAGCACATGTTGTCTTCATTGCACTTCTAGGAAAATCTTAGACTCCGCTGAATTTTTAGATCTGAAACTTCCCAAAATCTAACACAACCTAATTAAAGTCAGACTATTTTCTTCTTGAAAGCTTTTTAACAGGCATTTCAGACAAGGCTTTTATGGACTCTAGGAGAAGGTTGAACACTTTCAAAATTAGAATTCCAATTAAAATTAAATGCCTGGAAAACCCTTCCAAAACTTGATTTAAAAAAAATAAAAATAAAAATAAAAAAAAACCAAAACCCAAACTAATACATACCGAATTCTCAGAACTTTATTTTCTGCAGTTGTTCTTCTTGGCAAAGTTTTTGACTTGCTGATTTTTATTTTTTTTTTTGGAAGATGTAAATTTAAGTTCATTATAAGATCCTACTTGCCTCATCCAGTTCCTCTGTTGTGTAGTAGGTGTCAGTCAGTACTTCTCCTCATCTTGGAATATGGGGGGGTTTGTCAGTTGCTATCCTAGCATTTTCCAGCCCAGTCCTCATAGGATATTGAGAACCTCTCTTGAGAACCCATGGGTCATGACTTTTGAGAACTGACTTAGGGGTCATGACTTTTGAAGGGTGATAAAGGAATTTCTTGCCAGTATATATCCCCAATTATGTTTTTTACTGTCAGGCCTCTTAATTTTCTTCTATAAACAAACTGCTATGTGTGGTTTTTTGGGGTTTGTTTGGTGTGGTTTTTTTCCCTGTGAAAACAATAGCTGAAGAACTAGTATCAAACATATCCTTTGTAGAGGAAGATTAAGCTGCTGTCACGGAAATAACCAGCCTTAGCTGCTAATAGGTGTCACTCTTACCTGGATAAATCATTTAACTTCTACAACAAATGCGAAGATGTAGTAAAAATGGAGACACTTAGATATTGCCCAGAGGCTGTCCTGCGTGTTGATATCCTTCAAATGATGCATAGTAGTATCTATCTTTACCCGCCAAGCCAACTACCTCTTAATTAAATGGGGATAATAACATTTTCTGTGTCTCTGTGCTTCCTGCATTTTGGAACTTGTATCATGTTACCTGATGAGTTTGTACTTTGCTACAAATCTGGAGCATCTTGAGTACTCCACTTATACAGATAGTATCGTAGGCCTAAACGTATCTCAGTAGACAAAGTTTAGTAAGAAAAATCCATTTTTGAACAATGTGTGAGTGAAGACAAAAAGACTACAATTTACCTTGATTAATTTAAGGCTTGCAAAGCCCTTCTGGATGAATGGCTCTGCTAAAATAAAAGCATTGAAGTATCTGGTGGCAGTCAATGATTGTCAAACACAATCCTCACTATGTAATTGTAAGACTCAGCTTCTTCAGATCAACAAAATGCAAGACAAAAAAACCCCCTGCTTTACATAACAAACAATGTAAAGTCCAAAGGCCAGTAGCTGGCATTGTACAATTTGTTGTTGTTGGCTTTTTTCTTAATAAATAGCAAGTTTCCAGGAGCAGATGTGCCAGACACATGAAACTATTCATGAAAACTGGTAGCCTCGGGTAATAGTAAAATTAAAGAACTTTGCACTGCTGAGAAGACACAGTGGGTTTTGGGTAAGGGTTAGCACAGCATCTGCCATCGGCACCTGTGTGTCAGAACTGTTGCCAAAAGAAGCATTTTAAAGCAAGAGGGTCATTAACATAATAGTATCCTACAAAATGTAAAGAGTTTAACTGGAAAGTAGCTATGCCAAACAAAGGATAATCATTTACAAACGTCAAATTTATATGTGAACAGTTTTTAAAGGAGAATTATCTATGCAGTGATCACAAAATTTACTTACTCTTAATGAGCCTTGCATGAATGGGTGATAAGCAGGTTGCATATGGTATTTTAAGTGCATTTGTACAGCGGTAATTGTGCCTGCAAATCAGCATGTTTGAACTTTGTCTCAGGATTCTGAGCAGTTCTGCAATTAGGAAGCTCTGCAGCTACAGAATGTATTTCAGCCTGCCTGTTTGTGAGAGTGTTCTCTGCTTGACAAGTTTTGATGTTTTCCTGAAATCCGAGAAGCTCTTATCAATTAACATGTTCATCTCAGTGCATGTCTGAGATAGAGATGAGGTGATGGGTTTTTCATGGCATTTGATAAAATTAATTAAACTGGAGCCTGCAGATCCTCGAGAACTAACTAAATAGCATTGCTTCTCGTTTCTGGAGTAACAGTAACATAGGTGTGATGCAGAGTCTAACTGCTAGGGTTTACCTTCTAGTTTTGCTCCTTCCCATATTTTTGTCCATAGTCTTCATGGTCCATGGCAGTTTGTGCAGCCTCCTTACATACAATTTATGCAGTTCATCAGAAATGACGAATCCTATGTCCAGTTACAGCTTCCCAAAATTTAGTAGAAAAGTCTATTTTCATTGGGAACGAGCTTGACCAGGTCTTAGACAATTGGAAAGCAAATTCCTAGCTTATTGTCAGCAATCGTATCTCTTGCTAGTCTTACTAAATATAAATAAAAAAGACAGAGGTCTACCTATTAACAGTTACACTTGAAAAACTAGAGACTGAGCTGAACAGATCTGAACACAAGTTCAAACTATTCTGAAAACTTACAGTTGAGAATTCCTGCCAAGACTATAGTGTTTATATTGATACCATAAAAACGTGCAAGGTCTGTGTACGTCTTTCTCAGGTTTTACGTGGAATGGAAAGAACAACACTGTAGTCGTTTCTTTAGAAATCTCCTAGGGTGTCTGAGAGAGAGAAATATAGTGACCAATTGACTCATTTCATAAACATTTATGAGAAATCTGGAGGGAGACAGACATCACAGAATCACAGAATGGTTGAGGGTGAAAGGACCTCCAGAGGTCGTCTGGTCCAACCCCCCTGCTCCCCTACAGCCAGTTGCGCAGGACCATGTCCAGATGACTTTCTAATATCTCCAAGGATGGAAGCTACACAGCCTCTCTGGACAACCTGTGCCAGTGCTCTGTCACCCTCACAGTAAAAAAAAAAGTATTTCTTGATGTTCAGAGGGGAACATAAAATAATGTATTATATAACAACAGAGCTATAGTTGACGGAGGGACTTAAGGGAACTTTAAAAGAGAAAGAAAAATATAAAATGATAAACAAATTTGGAACAAGATAGAGAATTAACATTTACCCTGTCTACCTTTAGGTGTTCTTATGAATTAAGATTGTGACAGCACATTTCCTCCTAGATTTAATAATTCCAATAAATAGTGCCTTGCTATTAGAAGCATTTAATCAAGATTTCAATTGTCCTATTGTCATCAGGTTTTAGTGCCATCAAGTAGAATAAATGCTACCAAATTAATGAGGAAATCTTAAAAACTGAATGGCACTAGCCATTTTATAACATTAGCATTTTCACTAACAAAATTGTTAACTTTGAAAAGGTGGTAAATGTAACTGATCATCATCAATAGTAATGATTTATTTAATTTTCTTTTTTCTTTTTTTGGTTTTTTTTTTGTTTGTTTGTTTGTTTGTTTGTTTTTATATATGTTCAGGCTGGTCAATGAACAGACTTGTTTGTCAAAATTTTTTTTATCTCCTGAAGTTCTGTAAGGCTGGAAATTCAGGTCAGCCCTGTTTTCACTGAATGTGAAAAAGAAAACAAGAAAAGCTTTTCTGATAAATATTGGGGGTTTTATTATTCTGTTTTTAAAACCTGTCTCTGAGGCTGCAATTTTCTATTTTTCCAGAGGAAAATTTAGAGTTCAGAAAGTTTCTGCTGAAATGGAATATCCACTAATGCATTGTCTTTTTTGGCATGAACTAGACACAGATGTGGAGGATATAGATGCAAAGTAAATTGGGTGGCATGATGATGGGTAGGAGAGGCTGAGATCCATGTGTAATAATTTGTGGTTCATGAGGTTCATTCCAGTTGTGGCACAATTATATGAATAGCTGAGCAAACAGTCAATGAGTTTCTAGTTTTTCATGTTTTGAATTTAATATAATTCCCAACGTAACTGTTTTGACAGTTGTGTCTGCACATGTGTGTTCTTCATCGGAATCGTCCCGTTAAGCTCTTGGGGATTGCTCTGTGTACTACGCGCAGTCTTGGCAGCAGACGCAGTTACACACAGTAACTCTCTGCTGCAGTCCAATATGGTGAAAGGATTTCTAAAGAATGACAGCTTTAACTTTTCAGCCTCTGACTCCTTTTAAGAGACCTGAGAAGAAAACTAAAACATCGGGCTTATCCTCAGTATGTATGAGTTTGCTAGAGAAAGGATTGCATCTATACTTAAAACATTTCCCCATATGTGAAACAAAAAAGCGTGAAAACACTGAGCCAGAGGAACCAGAGCTTCTTGCAGCAGAGAAAGGGCAAAAACTTGTTCCATCTTTGGATTTTAATTGAGCTCTGTGCTGCAAAACGAGCAGTAGATTCATTTGCAATTATTAGGATGATTTAAGAACCGCTATTCACTTTAGCAAGCAGGAGTTACAATGCAACATATTCAGCTTGGCACAAAACGGCCATGAAGGTGGTTGGTTGACTTCTGTTGCGTATTATGGAACTTAAGAAAACTGTGCCAGATTGGAGGACGAGAGGGTAATAGCTGAGATGAACTAGAAAGCAGCTAAATCACTTTGGCAGTTCCTTAAAGAAGGCAGCCAAACGTGTTGGCTCACAGGAAGGTGTCTTTTAAATTTGGAAGCTCTTGTTAAATATGACCCTAAATTAAATCCAAACCAGACTCAGCTAACATGAAATTTCCATTAAAAGTAATACTGCCATAGCCCTACATCAGATTAAATTGTAGGTAGGTGACATTGTTAAGTAGTTTGGCTTGCAAATTTAGGTTTGATTAGAAAGTGTGCGGTAGTAAAATTACAGTAACATTTCAGGAATAAATTAACTACGTCTGTATTTATTTATTTATTGTAAAAACTGAGGAAGAACAGTTTGAGACAGCTTCTCTTTCTGGGTGCAAAGCAAAATGACTCTGGAAACAAAAAGTGATGCTGCTGTAACCAAGCTATAAGCACAATACGTTCTCTGTCGAAATAGCAGTCAGCTCCCACACTGAAATGGAAGATCCCAAGTTTACTTCCATCTGGAATTCCCTTTAATTCAGTAGTCAGCAGTTTCAAAATTGGGAGATACAGTAGAGATTAGTCTTGATTTCTAGTAGATCTCAAAAGAAATAAAATTCTGAAGTCATCTTCTATTTCGAGATGCATTTCCTTCTAATTATCTAGTTATGCAGCTTTTAGAAATGTGTCTTTTTTTTTCCCTAGATGTTAAGTACAAAAGGCATTTACCTTACATAATTCTAGGTGTAAATTCAATAAGAGGCAAGAAGAAGCTATTAAGTTGATAGTTCTTCCTTGAGGACAAGGGTAAATGGGAATAATCCTCATTAAGTAATTTGTCTTCCAGGAGAAGGACGTGACTCCCGATAGCCGGCTGCTGAGGCGAGTGAGAGAAGCTGCACTCCAGACTGAAAACCTTTCTCCTTTTATTCATATGAAGGCGTCCACATCCCTTACTGACTTTTTTCTTGCCCTTGCCATCTGCAATACAGTCCTAGTCTCCACAGCTACCGAGCCAAGACAAAGGGTAATCTAACTTCAAGTATATGAGGAAAATTGATTATGCTTCCATTTAACAACATAGAGCAGTGTTCAGCGAAACCTGAAATGGTGAAAAATAATTTGTTTGGGAGTTCTCCTCTAGTTCTTTTACCTTTTGTGTAATATCTCCTGTTTCCCTGCCTGTGTATATCCCTTCCTAACGTGGCTTTTTGTGTTTGATAGCTATGGCTACCACAGGATCTGCACTTTTTCTTTTAGTTTTTATGTTACATATACTGTAAGAAATATGTTGAATATATGGGGTTTTCTCTGATCTCCCAGGCCACTGACAGAACTACAAGGGGCTTGATTCCATCTCTGCTTCAGAGGTAGAGATACAAATCACCATCAAATTTGGATGCCAACTCACCTATGACTCCTTTACTGAATTCCCCCACCACAGTTAGAAAAACAAACAAACAAACAAAAAAGTACTTTTCTAATTATCATAATTTAGATACAGAAAACTATATTGAGGTTTTGAAAAGTATCTTGTAGTTCACATTGATTTATTTTTAACCAGAGGTTTTCTCATATTTCTAGGTCACAGTCCCACCACCAATAAAACCTTCAGGAATCACCCTGGAGAAGATTCATCAGATGTTTCAACGGCTAAAATTAGCAAGCCTTAGTCAGTCTTTTTCATCATCTCAGTCTAGTTCAGACCTAGGCGCTAGCTTCAGTGCAAAGAACACTGAGGAGCATCTTGCTGCGTTGGATTGCTGTGACAGTGACGACAACTGCTGTGCCAGCAGCCGGGGTGACGAGCTCCAGGGCAAGGGCAGCACAGATATTGGTAGCGCTTCCTTGGATGAGGTTTTTAAATCCGTGACTAACAGTTCTGTGCCAACAGACTTTTGTTATGAGGCTGAGAGCCCAGATGAGGCAGCGCTTGTCTATGCTGCCCAGGCATATAGTTTTACGTTAGTGTCCCGAACTCCTCAACAGGTGACCGTACGGTTGCCACAAGGCACACTCCTGACTTTCGATATTCTCTACACTTTGGGATTTGACTCAGTAAGGAAAAGGATGTCTGTAGTGGTGAGACACCCTCTAACCAAGGAGATTGTTGTCTACACAAAAGGAGCTGACTCTGTTATAATGGACTTGCTGGAAGACTCTGCCAAAGGTAATTAGCCAATGAGCTATTTCTGTTGTGCCTCCTACAAAGCACAAGAAGTTTGCAGTACTCTTTTCTGCATGAAATATTCTATCCGGGCATTAGAAGTATGCAAAAAGAATGAGCTTTCTCTAGTGTTATCCTTGCAGATCAGAACTGAGGTATTCATTTAACCTGAGTAGTGCTTAGAATACGGAATGGGCTAATTAAAATTCACTGACAGCGCTCACCCATGTGGATTGTGTACTCTGCAATAATGCTGTCATAAGGGCCTGACCATTGTATTTCAGCTTGTCAGCAAGAGTGCTATAACATTAACAAATAAACAAAACAAAACAAAAAAACAAGTAATGTTATCTTAAAGGAAACAAGGATCTTTAGCAAGCTTTCAGTTTATGCAAAGCCAACGCTTTTGAGCTTTTAAAGGAATTGCTGTTATACCGGAATCCAGTTTTCTCTAATGCCCACTCTTTTTTAATCTTAGACCATTAGGTCTGAAATGATCTGTGCTTAAAATATGGAATCTTTTCCTTGTATTTCACAGCTGATACTAGTGCAGAGAAGAGAATGAAAAGAATTAAAGAAAAAACACAGAAGCACCTGGACTATTATGCCCGTGATGGCCTACGAACTCTGTGCATAGCTAAGAAGGTAGGAGGGCATTAGCCTAATACTGTTTAGAGCTTTGTTCCGTACGTGTCAATAGATTTATTAGGAAAATGTAATGGTTATAATTCCTTCTGCTTCTGAGAACAAGGCAGATACAGCCCATCATTTTGTCCCTCTATTTGATTGCTCTGCAGTCTTTTTTTTCCTCTTTTTCCTCAGTGTGAACAGATGATGGATTTCTGGTCAGCCTCAAAACATTCATTTCTGTTTCTCTTGCGGTAACGCTTGCTGACCTTCTCAGTCAGTGATTCCAAGCAAGAAATAAAAAGTCCACAGAGGAGCCAACCTTTTTCTGTTTTGCTTGGCATTGAGCTTTCAAAAATCTTGCCCTCAGCCTGGGTTAGGACATCTTAGCCTGATACTTTAATACTGAAGTTGTCTATGTGCAATAAATAGGTCATATTCAGGCTCTGGAGAAATGTAGAGCAACCTTCAGAAACTCTGTGTTCCAGTTCAGAGTCCCAGCTAAGGGCTGTGTGATCAAGAGTTTCCCCAGGTCATGTTTTTAAGTCTTAGCTCTAGGCCATTTATACAAACAGGAATGCAGCTCTATTTTTCTCATTATTACTAGTTCTTGTAGTCTTCTCTTGGAAAAGATTGTGTTATTTTGAAGGCAGCACTGTACTTTACCAGCCTGAATAAGAGTTTAGTCTCTATGATGCAGAATGTTGGCATTTTTCTCTTATCTAAATTTAAAATGAGTTCTGTTTAAATTGTGTTATGCAGGTCTTGAATGAAGATGACTTTCAAAAATGGGCCAATTTTCGTCAGGAGGCAGAAGCAGCAATTGACAACAGAGATGAGCTGTTAATGGAGACAGCACAGCATCTGGAGACCAAACTCACCTTGCTGGGTAGCTAAAAATAAGAATCATCATTGCATGAAATATCACTTGCTGTTCTGTGATATTCTTGGCAACCAGACAGACAACAGCTTATACTAATTTATATCAAAAAGTCTTTCTCTGAGGTTTGGAAATCTCAGGGCTAGGGTATACAGTCCAACGACAGTGTCTAAACAACTTCTCATGCATTTTGAAAGA